ACCCGGTGAGGACTAAGAAGATGTCTCGTTTCCAGCAAAAAGGGTCTCCGGTTCTCTACACTCACCATACGAAACACAGCAGCATTAAGCTACTATTTGACGCTGGTATTCTGTGAGAACGTGGTCCTTCACCGGTCGAGCCGACCCATTCGTGCTACAACTATACTACTAATATAACTGCAGCATGGCTCTACCACGTAGTAAAATGGTGAGCAACAACCTGCATCCGTCGACTACCTGCATCTCTTACCAGATCGTCTCTACATCTAATGGGAAGCCGCCCTACACTTCGTTTATAGGTACCAGGCTGCCACTTGAGAACCTTTCTTTTCCATCGGTTGTCGGTTCTTTGAGCTCTAATATGACGGGCCCAGTGCCTTTTCAGCTTACTGATTCGTTGTGCTATGTGTTAGGTTATTCTGGTTCTACTGCAGATATCCTCTTTACAAAGTCTATCACGCAGAGAAACTCCGAGCATAGCCCTCTCCATAGCTCGCTGAGCGCCTTTGAGCTTCCTCATACTTCCAGCTGTGAAGGCCCATGTCTCAGACCCATATGACTGAGTTATGACAGTTAATCGTAATCCAAAGGAAAGACAGACGCTATTAAATTATTCCACTTCTTTGCTGTGCGTGTTACGAAAGACGATTCAAATCTTTAATAAATAGTTCGAAACCGAAACCAGCCGAACGTCTGGTTCTATGTTAGGTGGCCAACTATACAGAACCATTACCATTTTTATAAAATTTAGGTTCAGCCCTTTTGTATAGGTTTTCCACCATTAATTGGTTTCCGAAGGCTCGTTCTTTTATCAGGATGCACTTATTGCATTGTGAGCTTGGTAATCAGCGCGAAAAATTGGCATATTTACTTACACCCCAACAAACAAACACGTTTATTCGTGATGTGAGCATACAACGCAATATAACGTAAAAAAAAATAAAAAAAATAAAAACTTAACCCCATCTTAAAATTTATTCGAAATAATAGTCCAAACTCTATGATAATCACGGCCTGAACATCTAGTGGCGGTGTAAGAATATCCAGTACCCCATATCGTCCCGTCGGTGGTGTAGGAGACAATAGAATGAAACTAACCGGAAGATGCACAGCAGTTTTTTTTTCTAATAACAACTAAAACATGAAAAACCGAGGTCGCCAACCCGCACGCCAAGCGTGGCAACCATCGCAGATGCCTATGTTCATTTATAAGCTGTAACGGTACAAGTTACAACGGTTATAAGTTTTTTTTAATGATAAATTATAATTTTAAGTATCTTTTATAGTTTTCTGATTTCTCGTTCAATATTAAAAGCAATCATATTTAAAATAAGTCAAATAATCGATAATATAATTAATTTAATCAAGAAGTATCAAAACAATCTTGATATTATGGTAGAACTTCTTAAAGCTGTTTCAAGTGGAAAGAACTTAACCCCGCCAATTATTATTGATAATTAAACTTCCTTTTAATTCGATTAAGACGAATCTGCCCAGTAACTCGATCTCGTTATGCTGCACGGTTGAACGGAATTTTACGTAATAAAATGTTGGGATACGACTTTAATTAATTTTTTTATTATTTTTTACTACTATGGGTGACAATTTAGCACACAGTCCACCTTTTCATGAATTAATACTGTAGACTATTGCGACCGACATCTTTTTTCGATTAAGAAATAAAACACATATTATAAGTAAACAGGACATCTGATTCTCCTCACTTATAATGAAAATACAGCAGTAGCTTACAAATACATTAAAACAGATATATAACATAAACATATAAATAAACTTGCAACCAAGGTAACCAAATGATAACATTGACCATACTAACTACCTTCTAATGAATTCAAAAAGTGTTCACGTACCAATATTTTAAAGGCAGTCTTATTATATATTTTTCTAACGTCCTCGAGAAATATGTTGGAGATAAGTGCAGCCTGAATAGTGATGAATTTACCAATAAATTTAGTGAAATGTACTTGAATTTCGGAGTTGATGGATCATTTAATATAGAGAAGAGAACAAGCAAATTTATATAGTCACATCCCTGTTTAATAGTGAGTTCCATTTAAGTCGAGAGCAATGGAGAGAGATAAAATCATTTTTACGAAGATTGAAAATGTATCTGATACAATTGTTGAGAAGGCGCTCTAGATTGATAAGACGATTTTGATTTAAATCTAGGTAACACACATCTGCATAATTAATAATCGGTGGTATAAGTAACTACAAGCATAAGCTTAGTCATAGAAGAAAATTTTTTTTAAATAAAGAGCTCATAAAGCACCAGAGATTTTACAACAAGTTTCAGAGATATGAACCCCCCAGCTCAGAGTATTATCAATATGGAGACCAAGATTTTTTGACCGAAGAATCAAGCGATCATTATAATATACGGAAGGTCAATCAATTCTTACAAGCATCCTTGAGCTACCTATAATCTTCGCTTCGCATGTCGTAGGATTGATGGACACTCTGAAGCGCATGGACCAATCAAGGACTGACTTCAGATTAGAACTCAATTTGTCAATCACATTATGAATGTCACAAAAGACAGACTGTACATCAATTTGTAGATCATCAGCATACAAATGGTACGAATAATCAATATCAGAGGCGTTGCAGTTAATAAAAACCGAAAGTATTAACGGGGAAAGAATATCGCCTTGCGGTACGCCATAAGTTAGGTTAACCCACTGTGAAGTCATTTGCTCCAAGTGGTCAGACTACTGACGTCCGCGAAGATAAGATGAGAACCAATCTAGCACTGATGGTGCAAACTTCAGATAGGAGAGGATAGCAAGAAGTATATCGTGGTCAACTGTGTTAAAAGCATTAGAATAGTCTGCGAGTAACACAACTGTAACTCTCTTGTTTTCCATGCATTCTTTGATATCATCAGTTATTTTAAGTAAAGCAGTTATGATGTGCGTTATGACCAGGAATGAACCACTTATAATTTTATTTAAATCTCGGGTCGTTCAGAAGTCAGTTATTAGGTTTTTTTTTAAGAAATTCTCCCTGCACCTGATTTACCTCCAGTTATTTCAAACTACCGTCCTATCTGATTATGAGAGTGAGGGAATAGAGGGTGCACCTATGCTCGCGCACACATTCTCTCCGTTGAGACTGGCCACAGAGACCGAATCTAAGTCTAAGGGTATTATATATTTGTGATCTCACCATTTATAGTGATTAAGGCAAATTCCGTCTATAATGGGTAAAACCAAAGTTCAGCAGTGTGTTTTTACAGATTTTGGACATCGTTTGAGATCATAACCTATTATAAAACACACATAAATACAATTGTCAATCAACTAGGACAAAGTAGCTTTATCGTTAAATCCAGGCGGGCGGGCGTAATTGTTGTAATCAATGCAAACGACCTGACCAATTACCGAACTACTGCGTCGGTGCCGCTTCAATGCGTTGGCTAGTCACTAACGTACTCGTACAATCAGGACCACAATGTCCTAAATTCTTGCTATATTTGTGAATAATTATGACTGATCAGTCAAGTGCCTACAATCATTTTGAATGACATATTATGTAGTCTTAGTTTTTAGTTATGAACATATTTTAGAAAGAATTTTTAAAAAACTAGTGTGGGTAGTGAACGCTTGCTATAAAACTAATTTTGTAGAACCACCAGCCAAGGCCATACAACCTATTACCAGCATTTAGTTTACTGCTAACCAGAGCATATAGTCCAACTGGTGGTAAGTGGATGCAGTGGCTAATACACATCTTCATCTATCCTCGGTTAAATTCAAAATGTAGATGCGTTGTCACCCTTGAGGGCTAAGGTAGAACGAATAGTCTTCTGTTCTCTACATTCACCATAACAAAATATAAAAACAGAGCAAAATTGTATTGCTATATCTCATGCTAGAAGCATGACAGTGTGGTCCTTGCCCGGTTTAATCGTTTTACCACCCGTAAAAATTTACTTATAAAGTAATGCCTGGATAAACTTCTTTATTTTCTTTTAATATCTTAGAAATTAAAGTAAGAGTTAAAGCCTATATTTATGTCCCATTGCTGGGCACAGGCCTCCTCTTTTTTTTTGAAAAGGTTTTGGGGCAAGGAAGTGTCTACAGCGCTGCCCTAATGCGGGTTGGCGAACTTTACATATCTTCGAAAATATTTATGTTTTTCTTAAAACATACTTATAAATTAAGGGAAAATATGTAAATCCATGGCTTTAAATTTATATGTATACAATGTACTACGTATAAAAAAGAGAATTTGGCAACAAATAGCAAACTAAACTATGTACTCATACTGTTTTCAATTAGCAAAGTTGTTGAAGGCCCAAAACAGGATTCCCGCTAATTCCTCGTATCGCGTGTGTATACTCCATATAAACGTGTAGTTGTACGCTCGTAGCGCAATATAATTACAGTTCATTAGACTAACGCGGCCCGGAGAGTCCTTAATTAAGTAATTGCCAGCTACACTCATCTTCATGTAGCCCGGGCAGAAAGTATGACGGCATGCGTTAAGAATCGTTGATGATTCAACTTATAGTTTTACCTATTTTTTTATATAACACTTGTTTTCAGTTCTGAAATCAGTTGCATGTTTTTGTTATTTCTTTATTATTCCTTTAAAAAATAAAAATAAAGTTTGAACGTCAGATAGAAGCAAAGAAAAATCTGGCTGCATATTCTCAACAATTTCAAATATAGGTCTAAGATTGGGCAGTAATCTTGTTTCCCTTTTTTAATTACAGATTTAGAATTTCTTACGTATATAACACCAATTTATATATATCTGGCAACTCTGGCAACGGAAAACTTTTATAATGAATACACTGGGTATTTATTATAAAAGTTTTCCGAGTCAACAACCAAGAGGCTTGATTTACAAAACGTATAAAGAGAAGTCTGAGTAGAGAGCATTTAGCGGCGCGTGCGGCTGCCTTTCCAAACAACAATACAAGAGCACGTGTTTATTTGAGTGAGAGAGTGAAACTTAGTTTTCATGCTTACTGTTCGAAAGGTGAGAAGAGGTGGTGTTGCGGACGTGGATCAGGCGCGGCATCACGCGAGCTCGCACTGCCCACAGATGGCGCCGGCGACGAGCACCCCGCCTCGGATCTGCCATTCGTTTATATTTTCATCTATCTTATCGTGTGGTAGCGACATAAGAGTACCCATCATTTAACCCACTATGACCCAAGTATTCGCAAAGAATCTCTTCGCTAATAGATGACGAAAATCCCCTTTCATATAGCTATACGTATACGTGGTAGAGCCACGCTGCGGCTATATTATGGTTGTAACACAAATGGGTCGACTCGACCGGTGAAGGACCACATTCTCTCAGAAAACCAGCGTTAAATAGCAGCTTAATACTGCTGTGTTTCGTATGGTGAGTGTAGAGATGCGGAGACACTTTTTTACTGGAAACGAGGCATTCCATTTTAGTTCACATGGGTGACAACGCATCTACGTTTTGATTCTTAATCGATGATAAATGTAGATGTCTATGGGCCACAGCATCCACTTACTATCAGTTGGACTATGTGCTCGTTTGTCACCGTCATTCTATAAGAAATACTATTATTGTATATACTAGTGTTGCTTAGCACCCGTTGTGGAATTAATCTTTAGTTTTTAGAGATGACAACGCAACCATAGCCTTCTTTGATTGAATTTGGCTGCCGGAGTCCATGAATTGCAGTAGCCACACAGCGTTTTGGATCCAGTTTAAGCTATATTGTGATTGTTGGATCAGTGGGTCGGCGCGACCGAAAAAGGACTAGGCTCTCACATAATACCAGTGTAAAATAACAGCTATTTTACGCTGGGGAGTGTAGACAACTGGAGATCCTTTTTACTGAAAACGAGACATTCCATCTTAGTCTTTAGAGGTAAAAATGCAACTGCATTTTGATTCTTAATCGAGGACAAATGTAGATGCTTAGTATTTCACAGCATCCACTTACCATCGGGTGGAATATATGCTAGTTTGTCACCTTCACTTCTGTGTATAAATAAAAATATTCTGAACCACTATATGCGACACGTGTAGTTATGTCATAATATTATGTAAAAATATACCTTTCAAGTCTCGGAGATCTACTGGGAGATGGGCGAGGTGAGCGAAGTGGTGATCTACGCGGAGAGCCTGGCGTTACAGGGGGCGAAGCCCGAGGCGAAACACCGGTGCCCGACATGGGTGATGCTTCCGCCGAGCCGCGGGACATGCCACACTCAGACGAACCCTGTAAACGTGTTCAGTTAGAAAAATCTCACAAATTGATAAAAAAACTGTGAAGAACCGAATATCAAAGAAAACGAACAAATGAAAACAAAGATTTAATTTAAATAATTTAAAGCCTCTTTCAAAGAATTAATAAGAATGAAATCATTTGCACTCAATAGCTTCTGAAGTCAGTGCTAAGACTAGTGTAAAGAAATATTAAAGCTTGTGTTATTGGCTTTTAGCTTGCATTAAAAAATAAAGTTACAGCTTATACGTCCCACTCCTAGGCACAGGCCTCCTCTCATTTCTAAGAGGGTTTTAGGGTAAGGAATAGGCAGGTTTCCTCACGATGTTTTCCTTCACCACCGAGCACGTGGTAAATCAGCACTTAAAATTGCAATTAATAATTTCTTTGGTGCCGGCGGGGATCGAACCCGGTTTGCTTGCGTATTGTGAAATTCACAGCGAACGTTAACCATCTGAGCTACCCTGGCTCTTTGTATTAAACATATTTCATATTTATATTTTCATGGACTTCTTACCCCTGCCGATTTAAACTGTTACATTTGTTCAGGAAATGGGTTAAGGAATACTATATATCCCTCAAAACCCTCTTTTTTCCTCCTTTTATTCATGATGACTGATCTATCAATTAAAGTTTGCTTTTTTAGTGAAGTTGGTGATCTTTTTTTTATTTTAATGCACCCTATTCGTTAATATTTCTTTTGTTTTTGTTCAATTCTTTTTCTGAGTCGAATGGAAGAGATTTCTACATAATAATGCAACAGGATTACAAGACCGCCTTTGGTTTTTGACTCAATATTTGTATATTTTTATCATATAATTCTTTCCTTGGTTTACAATAAAGAATATTGTACTGTATTGTAGTTTACTATCAGCGTAAACGATTCTAGAAAGTTAACTTGACTAAGCCTAAGTAAACTAATCAAAATTTACAATACATAAGGTGAAAGAGTAGAGGTAAAATAATAAATATATTAAACTTCTGAAAAAGGTAAAATTCGCCTACAAAGTGCTAAAATGAATACTACTATCATTGAAATCATTTGACGTGGTAAAACACTGTTCGTCTATATGTCGTGCAGATGGCTTTGAAAATTAAAGAGTTTGATTTTTGATGCTTTCCTCGTGAATCCTAACATCATATTATCTTCATCAAATTTATATAGGTCTACCCCCTCAAGTACTCCCTATCGAACAAAAGAGAGTCATAGAAATCGAATAACGGTGTAAAGAAGACGAAGTTATCGCTGGACATAAGTTAAAAAAGTATTCCGTAGAATTGAAAACCATCTTCTTTTAAGTAGACTGAAAACACAAATCGTTGGTCTTCAAATCATAGACACGTTACTGTTAGCGTTACCCTTGCAGACTATCACATGTCCACTGCTGAACACAAGCCTCCCCCATAGGTTGCTCTATAGGGGGGATATTTTTTATAGTTGCCACGTTTGGCAGGTGGATTGGCAACCGCTGCTGCCTATCTCCTTGTTCGTTTCCCTCTGCCGCCGCCTACGACACCCACGAAGCGATATGGGGTAGTAGATATTCATACACCGCCACTAAATACAATTATATTATAATATTGCTTACCTTGTCATCCGCAGGGTCTCGTTTGGCCAGTACTTCTGCTCCTTCTCGCTTACGCTGCTCTTCTTTCAATCTTTCCGCCTTCCGCCACTTTGCTCTTCGATTTTGAAACCATACCTTAAATATTAAAAGTTTCAATAATATTTCGTAATAATATATTAAATGATTTAAAAAAAAACTGTAGTCTAGATTTATCGTAACCTATGCGATTGGTGAAATGGTTGACTAGCACAGTACCAGATAATATCACACACTTTTGACGGTTATCCCCGTCGCTGGTCTTAGTATTTTTCACCTTTCACCACCACTTCTTACAAAGTTTTGCTTAACCTAAAACACAGGGTTTACCCTAACTTAGGAAGCAAGTTCATTTTTAAGAACATATTTAGTATATAAGATGCATTGTTTGACTACTACTCTGTATCACTTTCTATCTGAATAAATATTATTATTATTATTATTATTATTATTATTGAGTTTAGACTGAAATCTCGCCACACTTTTACCTCAATTTAAGAAATTGAAAATAAAAATAGTTTTGATCGTATCTCTAGAAATACCTAGGGGAGTGGTTCTGACCTAGGCGGACTTCTATGTAAAAAAGATCCAGTAAAAATAAATAAAGATAGATAATGGTATAATCTCGTATTAGTCATCTAGTCTGACGACGGGATCAGGATTAAACTAGTTATATTTTAACTGTGATCACCAATTCAAGCCACGTATGACGACTGCAGAAAAATGATAATAATACGTTTTTTTTTTTAAAGAAAACCGGTACCCCCTCATTCTGATTATCTCCTGTATCGTGGAGGCAGTTTACAAACATAAATTGCACAAGGACAAACATTCATACCCGGAACAATTATTTGTAGGCCATACAAATACTCGTTCCGTGCGGGATTTGAACCCGCGACCCACAGCGCAGTCACTCATTGCTAAGCCACTGCACCACGGATCCATCATTCTTAAATACCGTAATAATTTTTATAAGCAGTTAATTACTGTTACAGGTTGATTAGTCGAAGATGATAAACAAAATCAGTTAAATACCCCAAACAAAGAAATAACTATACCCGTAGTCATAAACCGCATAATCCTCCATACCCCACCTGTCAACAATACAAACCCTTAATACTGCATCATTACCACCCCATTTTGTAGCTGATTATAACTCAAAGATTTACACATCGCTCCTCTAACATGGGGGAGAGTCGAACACAGCACCAATTTATTATGACACCTATCATGTTTGTGAATGTATGCTACGATAGGTCATTTTATATTGGGAAATGATTATTATCACCAATTATGTAAGAGCCAGATAATGCTGACATGTACATTCAATAACAGCTCTCATGTTGTTGGATGTTATAAGCTGGTTAGCCGTATACGACAAGAGTCGAGGCCACATTTGCAGTGCAATTTTCGCAATTTACTTTTAATAAGCTTCTCGTAGATGGGTATGCTACGAAATCTTGTTATGATGGTGTCACGCAGAAGTGTAAATAGGTAAAAAACAAAGTTTGTTCATTCCTCCAAATGTATTGTTATCCTAAGTCTTTCGTATCTTTTATTAATACACTTTTACTAGGTGATACTAATTCTTTTTTGTCTAGGAGTCCGTCCGTCTTGGTTGCGATATATATATATAAAATATATAAAAAAAAATATAGATATATATATATATATATAAGAGAGATCTAGTATAATTATATGCTGTGCATTGCATTTTACATAGTTAGGTTTGCCTAATCTTCAGGAGTTTTCTACCTCTTTTCTTCTACGCATTTGTGGCTTTGTTTGAGGTTGCTGCGAGTATCTATAGGCCGCAGCAGCCTCTAACTATCAGACTAATTGTTAGCCCGTTTTCCACATTAATATTGAAAAAAACTCAAATTAAATGCTTAAATTAAGACAGATATAAATTTTGTGAAAAAAAAAACAATAACGTATACGTAAGTTCATGCTAACATTTGTACTCTGTGAAGCGTCAAGCATCAAAATATACCCTTAGCGATCGTAAGCTAATTCGGTTAAAATAATAATCCCGCCATAATCCGACGGCCGCCCTAATAGTTTTTATCTCTTACTAGAGCAGTATTAATATTTGAACGCGTTGAGAGACGCCACCCTGTCTCGCCCCTTCGTAACGTCTTCATGATCTTTATTGTTGCAGGGGGTGAATTTAACGTGGAATATATTTTTTATTTTCAAGCGACCGCAAAAATTATAATTTAATAGCTGTTGCTAAGTTATTAATATTAAGTACGCTGTTAAAATTATTTTTTTCTTATTAATGTTGCTAGTCTTTGTTGTTTGGTTTAGATGAAAATTTTTATACAAGCAAGGACGACTAGCAAACACACAATCTAACGAAGAGTAAGCGAATATTGTAACCTATATCTATTCGTGAATAAGATTCATAATGCAGATGCATTGTCACCCCTATGGTACATGTAAAATAGAATACCCGGTTATCAGTTAAAAGGATATCCAGTTCTCGCGCTAACGTATAAAGCACATCAGCTATAGCTTATACGCTGCTATTATACCCTGATTTTCGCAAGAGCGTGGTTCTTCCCGCTTGAGATAACCTATTCGTAGTTCAGCCATAATACTGCCGAAGAGTGACTCTAACACGTATATAAAGTAAGTGAAAAAATTGAAACGTACATTACCGCAAAGATTATGTCTTGAAAGGCAATTAGTCAGTTTATTGTTATTCCAAAATTGACGATCACATAGTCAGACATCTCACACCTTGGCCTGAACGTGATACTCATACCTCCTTCCGCGTCTGATAGATGCCACCTTTCTTCATCATCATTACCGCCCTTCACAAGTCCACTGCTGAACATAGGCCTCCCTCAAGGAATGCCACAAAACACAGTCCTGAGCTACGTGCATCCATCGACTTCCTGCATGTTTTACCAGGTCGTCACTCCATCTATCGATGGGTCGCACTACACTTCGCCTATCGGTACGAGGCTGCCACTCGAGATACCTTTCTTGCATATCAATAATCGACTCTTATGATACAAAATGAGTTGATAATTCTCTTAAGCCGCCATACGTCAAATTTATGTTAATAAGATATTATATAAAAAGTTAGATAAAAGAGAAATAACATTTTTGCGTTTGTTAAAGGTCTGTCCCAATACAAATAATGTTTATTTAGATATTGAATTAGGAAATTATTTCAATGACCTTACATTACGAATTTTCTTTGTTATTAAAACTTAATTGATTTGATATTTGACGACAGAGTTCCGTAGTAGCGAAGCAATTCGCAAACCATGGATTCGCATAACTGTCCCGAATCTGGGTGTTTAGTCATTAGCAATTTATGTATGTAATAGACCTCCGGGATTACATAAATAAATAGGGTAAGACAAACAGAACTAACTTCTGTTTGGAAGTAATATTTTAATCGAGTTAAAAACGAGAAGGTTTTATCTATGAAATAAGTATTTGATGCGTATTTTTTATGTATGTTCACCGATTTCTCGGAAACTGCAGAACCGTTTTAAATGATACTTTTTTATTACTTCTGGCTATACATTAGGGTTGGCCCAATATAAATTAGAAGAGAAATTCCATCTCTAAGTGTGTAAAAGTAGAGAATATGGATGTTTATGCAAGTAAAAAAAACACCTATACCCCACTGCTGGGTACAGGCCTCCCCCCTGAGAGGTTTTAGGGCAAAAGTCCTGCTCCACCCCCGGGTCAAAACCATCTGAGCTACCACGGTTTATGCAAGTACATAGAGGATATTCCAGATGATATACCTCGAACTGGTGAAATTTCTTAGACCACTCGGAAGAGTAATATAATTCAACTTTTAATAGACTTTGACTTTGGATTAATTTTAGTAGTAAAATAATATTATTTTTAATATTAATAGATTCTTGTTGAATTTCGTATAAAACAACATCTATTAAAACTAACAAAGCAATCCATCGATAACTTATGCACCCTTCACTTTGACAGAGTTTTAACCTCCTAAGCACATGTTGCAACATACGACCCTGTCACTTTTTGTCAATAACAACCGCTTGATCAAGACCTACACCGTCCCCTCTATCTCTCAGCTCTACCATTATACAGAACTGTTTAATAAATAGCTAAGGGTCAGTGTAAATCGGTTATGTTTATAAGGGGTGTTGCGAACAGTAGGGGCGCGGTAATTACCTACTGTTCGGGTAAACGTGGATTGTTTGCTTTCGTTACACAGTGCGTTGAGTGCGCTCCAGTTAAATAATAACAAATATATTGTTTGGTGTCGGTGTGAAGTGTAATGACTCTTTAGCGGGCGGTCTCTTAATTGCTTCTTTTAAATAGCGTTTTAACAAAAGATATGCGAATAATAGCCTTTGTATGTTTTATTCTTTGCATTTTGTTACTTAGGTACTATAAAGGTTTTATACTCGTTAGACACTTCTGATGACAGGATCATAATAGTAGGTACTATTTGATAATCGAATATTAATTAACTTATAATCATTGAGCTATTATGTACTACGTACTAGAGGAGACACTGCATTCAGCTACTCTGTTCCACTCAACTGCGGTGCATGCACTGCACTTTAATCAGTCACTCGCTAGGCGCTTGTAGAGTTGTCACGTGTTGTGTTGATTTAAAAAAAATCTCTTGATAAAAATATGCCGTCTTGTGTACTTAGATATTGCACAAATAATTCAAGAAATGTCAGTAAAAACCAAGGAATTACTTTTCATCGGTTAATAAGATACTTATTCAATAAAAAAGTATTATAAATTAATAATAAAGCAAATTATTCCTAAGACGCCATCTCGTATCATTGAATATAGATTATGAAATTAATATGTTCAGATGCGACATTTCTGTGGGTAGGTACTTAAGTTTAGGACGAATATATTATTATACTACACATTTTTTTTGTAGAAACATATAAGTTATTATAATTAAGCTAAATTTTTCATGTTTAAATCTGCTTATTATTCTTTTTATTTTATTTTTTAGGTTTCCACTTCAAAGTCAAAGTGGAATAAATTCGTCCATTTTTAACTCTCGCGTGCCCAGCATTTATGAACGATTATTTACAACATTTATGATTCTAATTTAAATAAATATA